TGTATGTGGGATCTGAACCCTCGGCGGGAGCCACCGCGCTCCCAAGCGGAGCACTGTAGCAGTGCGCCACCGGGCCGGCCCAGTTCCCTCATTTTTTTTGCAGGATGTCCTTGCCTTTTAACCTCTGAGTAAAGTGGTTTCCTCTCTAAAATTAGGGGCTTGCTGTAACTTATCTCTAAAATGCCTTCTAGCTTTCACATCTTAGGCTGTGAAAGGTCAGCCTTAGCCAGAGGAAGAACTATAGCTTAGGCCAAGGGACATTTCATCCCATCTGGATCCCTGGGGCTTAAATGCACATTCCAGACAATTTGGGAGAGATGGAAGGAAAAGAGAGTTGAATCCTCCCTCTTGAGACCCCCATTCCCATTCCTTCCCTCCTCCCTTTGCCTCAGAACCACTCTAAGTTTTCTCTGGAGACTGGAAGAGACAAATCTTTTTCACCTCTCACCCCACTGGCATCATCAAAGTCAAACTAGGAAAAAGGCAGGGAGCAGCAGTGAGCCCAGTCTCTGCAAAGCACTAATTGGTCAGTGAAACTTGGGAAACTCCCACTGACCACTTCTTAAGGACATTTCCTGGAACTTCAGTGCAACTGGACTTAAGTTTGACCTTGACATTGACCTCTCCATCCTGCCACCCAACAGACTTCTGGACCCTTTACAGTTATACTCATGTGCCAGCTAGCCATGGTTTCTCATCATTCATGGTCCCTCTGACAGAAACATCTCCTTTCTCTCCCACACTGCAGAAATTTTTCAAAGCATGATTCTGAAGAACCTTGCTTTAGGATCACCCAAGAGGCTTACTAAAAATAAAAATTCTTGAGACAGACCTATTGGATTAAAATCTCTTGGGGTGGGCCAAGGAACCTGGACTTTTCTTTTTTATTTTATTTCTTATTTTTAAATTTTTTTTTCTAAAAGATGACTGGTAAGGGGATCTTAACCCTTGGCTTGGTGTTGTCAGCACCACGCTCAGCCAGTGAGCTAACCAGCCATCCCTATATAGGATCCGAACCCATGGCCTTGGTGTTATCAGCACCACACTCTCCCGAGTGAGCCACGGGCCGGCTCAGAACCTGGACTTTTAAACAAGCTTCTATGGTGATTCCTAACCTCATGAAGTGGTTTTACATGCCAATAATCTAAGGATTCCTTTAGGCAATATTGGTCATGGTTACTTTCTGTCCAACAAACATTTATTGAATGCCTACCATGTACCAAGCACTGTCTTGACCTGTGAGACTTGCATCCCTAAAGCTCCCAAGGAAAGGCACAGCACTATAAACTGCTTTCCTTAGAGAGGGCCATATTATCAGACTTCCAACAGGTTTAGAATTCCTGTCCTTGGGACCCCTTTCACCCCCACCTCCATCCTGGGATGACTGAAGGATGCTACTGAGAACTGCATCATAATCTGCATTTTCCCTTAATCTGGTTTAAGAGAAAAGACTCCTCCCCCCCTGCCCCCAACAAGCAGGAGACTTTCTATGCTTCAGGGTTATGGAGCCAAGAGTATGAATGTACTCAAGTGTCTCCAAGGGGCGACACGGTCAGATTTGTGAAGGGGGTTGCCAGGGGCTGCTTAGGAACAACTTTAAACACACAGAAGAGCAGACCCTCCATTACTTCTGTCTGCAGAAAAGAAGCTTGTTATTAGAATGGGAGGGAAAGGTAGTTTCAGGGCTAGGGTGTGGGTCAGGGGTGGCTACTGTGGTGAGCAGGATGGGAGAGATTTCAAAGCATTCCTACATCAAACACAACCTGGCAAATCAGGCCCCTCTGCTGTTACCTCCCATGGAGAACTCACAGCACCAGAACCCAGCAGGGCAAGTGACCCTTGGGAATTCATGGCTTGAACAAGTAATAAAAATTAGTAAGACATTTCTTCCATACCCTGTGAACATCTAAGAAACAAACTAAAATTATTCAAAATATCCTATATTCACATCTTTCTACACACATTTTCCCCAAAATATCTTCTAATCTCTCCCTAGAGAATTACAGATTAAGAATCTTCTGGAGTAGATTTATAGTATAGCTAAGACCTGTCACAAATTAATCTTTTGTTTCTTTGGTTTGAGAATGGTTTTTTCCCCAACCTAAACTTCCCCTAAGAAAATGTCCTTACACAGTAGGTGGTTGGCAAATGTCTGTGACTCTGAGATAACCAGAGTCTTGACTTTCAACATGAGTAAATCAAAAATTAGCCCAGGAGTGAAGATGGCAACTCTGAGTCCCAAAGTGTGGGATATGCTAAGGACTTGGAGATTAAAAGAAGTGGACAGAGCACGAATAGAATGTAGCTCTCCATATGCAATTATCAGGGAACTGTTATTGGGTCTGAACAAATATTGGACCCCCCAACCCCTCAAACAGTTGTAAAAACAAAACAAAAATATTTTTTAAAAAACTCATTCTCTTCTAGTACATTTCCTTCTCTCAGCAAAGGTTAAATCTCCAAAATTTTGCTTCAGGGAAAGAGTGTGGATAGCTCATGGGTGCATCAAAGTCAAGGTTTAATTGTGTTAGGAAGGACCCAACCTTTGCCCCAAATGGTTGGCAGCAACAACCTAGCCTTTGTTGCCATGAAAATTGCTAAAGCACCTAGGTTGCCTGTTTTTCTCTAAGGCCCTTAGAGAAAGGGCCTTAATTTGATAGGTTTTGGTCAGACTTACTAGACATCAACCTGGGTTTTCTGTCTTAAATCCTGGTTTGCAGCTAGCTGGATGTCTTTCTCAAAATGGTTTACAAGGCCAACCTTCCTTTCTGACCCCTGGAGCCTCTGGCCCTAGGAGTTGTGATAGGACAAGTACCATTTGAGAGAGGATTGTGAGAGCTGGGACAACTTGCAGGTAAAAACTGGTTATTAAAGTCTAGTCAGGGGTGGAGAGGGGAGTATTGTGAACTCAGCAGCTTCTTATTTGCTGATACTGTTGCACTGAAGTCACAGAAGGAGGGCAGTAGACAAATGTGTCACATTTTAAGGCTGAACTAGCTCTGAAGAGCTCTAACATTTCCTAACCAGGGTGAACCTTTATTTTCTCTTCTTAAAAACTATCTAGGACCTTTGTCATATGATTGGCTACAGGACAAAACTGAAGTAGCAAAATCAAGGGTGAAGGGCCTTTCAGCACCATATTCCATTTCCCAATCAAATCCAAGAATTCCAGCACTACAAGAATCCCAGACCCCCTTAGCTGGGTGCTCATTCCTAGGGGTACACATTCTACTGCCCCTCACCCCCACTCCATCTTGGCTCAACTTCAGCCTCACCAGCAGTCTACAGTTTTGGTGTGGCTTTGTTTATTCACAAGTCCACAACCCTGTAAGGAACTGGCTCCCGGACTGTGATGGATCCAGACTTCCTCAGAGTGGAATTTTAGGCAAGGACTCAATCGCTCTTTCATGACAAGTGGATCAGTAAAACAATAATAAAACCTCGGTCACAATAACTCAGAGGCTGTAATAGATCAAGTTTTCAAGGGCACTTGAATAAACTAAGAGTAGACTCTCTAGAGTCTACATTCACACAGGTTTTTAGGAAACCATCCTCCTTCATTACTACTGTGTGTAAATAACCTAATTATTTACTTATTTCATCTGTTACTTTCCTACAGCCCCAAAGAGGGAAACATTAAAAGAAATACTTAAGGAAGTTGGAAAATTTGTCAATGTAAAGCTTGTCTTTGTAACTCATACTCTTCATTTCCTGTGCCAATTGCATGCATTTTTATTTCCCGTCTTTCTACACTCAGTAAACAAAACCATATTATCAAGGGAAAGATGTGAGCCCATTAACATTGTGAGCCCTCAGATTTCACTCACAAGAGAGAAGCAGCACTTATCTGATGGAAAAGAAGCTTTAATTGCTTCGAGGTACAAGCCCGTCCAAGCCTCTGAGATCTGACCTGTCCCTGGGAAGCCTTTGCGCCCTCGAGCCAAGGGCCAAGCGCTTCGTCAAAAACGTGCGCAGCGCGGGTGCATGTGCCAGCCTCCCAAATAGGAGCACAACCAACGTTCCACCACAAGAGTGGATTCTTTACTCTGACACCCTAGCCAGAGGGGGAAATCTGCTCAACTTCCTCACAAGGCAGAAACTTTAATTTCTGTGCAAATTAAAACACGGCACAAACACTTGCCCTCATCATACCGCAACAAATTGGAAAGGGTGGAAGAAACTAAAGGGAATGCTGCGAAGTAACATGAAAAGAAAACCTAGTGAAAAAGTGAAAATTCGTCCCGTCTTAGGTACACAGGCCTTACAGTGTAAAATGTAGTGCCGTTAAGTGCTAGGGAAGGGGAAAGAGAGAAAACCAGACGTCTCCGGGTTTAGAAGAGGGATAACACCAGTGTCAAGAAAACCGAAAGCAGGTCTCAGAAAAAGGGAAGAGTAACTTTGCCTTCCCTGGAAAAGGGCTGGGAACAGTCCCCACAGGCCGAATTCCATGCTCCCATTTAACCCCTTCCACCCTGCGGCGCCTACAATCCGCACCCGAAGGACTAGCCACCCGCGATCCAGACACCCTCACCCGAGTGGCCAGTCCTGCCTTTCTCCCTCACCCACCTTGCCCAGTACCTGCCCGGGGTGCAGGCGTCCTGCTCTGGCCGCGCCCTTTCCCAGGCAGCCCCAGGGCCGTGCCGCCTGTTCCCGGGGTCCGGGGAAGCTGGGCGGCGGCCCCTGGCTGGTCTGACTAAGTTGGCGGCGGGGCAGGCGCGAGGAGCCGCGCGCCAGGCGGGA